AAATATTTTTTAGCTTTCACTCAAGAATTATTAAATAGTAAAATATATTATATAGAATTTAAACATCTTTGCCACAAATTTACCTAATCATTTCAACCCAAGCAAGCAACTAGTTCAATATACCTCAAATCAGAGTGTAGTTAATATATATAATGACTTTGCCGGTCTCTGGCTCATAACGCTCCGATTGCTGGCTGCGAACGGCCAGTTTTATATGTAATATTTTCAACTGAACAATGAGTGAAGACAACTATAATCCCGTGCTAACGCGTGTGAATCGCCTGGAATTGTTTACGTTTGAGGAATGTGAAAAGATATTGAAAGCTGCCCTCGAGGATCAACAGCAAAAGGGCAAACTTAATGAATTCAAAGTTGTGCCAGCCATCGAACATGTGGGCTTTCTAGGAGAATATTATCATCTGATTCTTAGCTATCAATTGGCTAGTGAGTCAGAGCAGCGCTCAATGCGTCTGTTTGTCAAATCTGTGGTCTACGAGACTGCGAACATGAGCTACTACGAGGAGAAGAAGTCGATAATACAAAAGGAGGCGAAACTATACGAATTGCTGTTGAATGATTTGAAGAAATTCTGTAAGTTTCTTTTCAAAATTATACGTAGTTTCCATAGAACCCAGCTATTATTAATCTACAAGCCATAAATCTAATTTTAAAAAGTTTTTTTTTTTCTCTCTATTTTTAATTTTTTCTTATCTGTTTTGTTTAATAGTTTGTTTATTCTTTATTTTTATTTCTTTCTTATCTTCAATCGCAAACAGCTGCTCATGTTTGGTGTGCCAAATGCTATTTCACCCGAGATGATTTGTTTGTCATGCAGAATATCGAAGATTTGGGCTACAGATCATTGCCCTCGAGCACACGATTCCTCAGCGAGGAGCAGTTGTTGCCCATGCTCAAGGCTTTGGCTACGTTGCATGCGAGCAGCGTGGCCTATGAGAAACGCCATCGGCTGACCATTGGCGTAGCATTCAGGAAGTGGCTGCTGGAGAAGTCTATTGATCCCGACATTGCGTGGTGGACCACAGGCATAAAGGTGAGTTTGCCAATAAAAGTAATAAAGTAAGCTGAACTAAACACGCTCTATACAAATGCAGGCCGTGCTGGGTATGGCCGCAGCGCATCCGCTAGTTGTCAATAATGCGGCTGCCCAGGAGTATGTGGCCAATGAGCTGCCGCGCTGCCTGGATCGTGTCTACTATATGGTGAATCCATCGCCTGTGCATCGCAATGTCTTTCTGCATCGCGATGTCTGGGGCGGCAATGTGTTCTATCCTCAGGAAGAGTCGAAGAAGTTAGGCTGTGTCCTGGTGGACTTTCAGCTCTGTCGCTATGCACCACCAGCTGTGGATCTGCTGATGGCCTGCTATCTGAACTTGGAGCCACTGCACCGTAAGCAAATAATGGATAATCTAACGACCTGTTATTACTCGCACTTGATTGATGAACTGACCGCCATGGGCATCGATGCCGGGCGTGAGCACCTGGACCATGCAGCCTTTGCGCGATCCTTGAAGGACTTTGCTCTCTTTGGTGCCACCTACAATTGCATAGCTGCCACCATACTGCGCCTGCCCGACAACTATCTGAAGCAGCTGAAGGACGAGCAGCCCATGGAGTTCCATCGATTCTGCAATATAGATCGCACCGCAGCCCTAGTGAGCTTGATGAGTCAACATGAGGATTTTCGTAGCTATATGAATGCTTGCATCGAAGACTTATTGGAACTAACCTACTATACCTCCAACTGAAATGGTTCAGTCTTATCTGCTACGTGTACACAATGCTCGCATAGTAACGCAGCTTATCAGCTAAGATTATTTAATATGAAGTATTATAAAAAAAAATTGTTTTATGTGATAACTAAAATACACAGATAGAAAAAAAACTCATCTCTAACAATGTTTTATTTCGATTTCGTGTTAAGCAAAGCAAAATTGAAAAAAATTTAGTTCACTTTCAACAGGCAGCCTCAATGGAGCTGCTCAGCTCTGCGGAATAAAAAAACATCGCCTTACGCACACTTCAGCTGAAAGACGATGACGAGAATTTGATTTTACAAAAAAAACAACTTGAGGCGGGCTCCACTGAACTGATGGGCTATATGGGCGAATACTACAAGCTGCACTTGGAATTGGAGCACACGAAAACTAAGTGCAAACACCATTTACAATACTTTGTTAAGAGTTTGCCATACAAGAATCCACCACAGCGCGCCGAATGCGAACGCAAAGGCGTCTTTCGCAAGGAAACATCAATATATAAACGAATATTGCCGAATATACAGAGATATGGTGGGTTATAAGGTAACTTTGCACTAAATATAAATGAATTTTTTTCTTAATGAGTATATTTATTACTAAAACTAAGCAGAATAACAATGTCAATTACTTTTAAGATCATAAATTATTTATAGGGCGGGTAACTTATTATTATTATTCAATAACAATGAGTTTAATTTTATTAAATTCAAATCATTTAAAATAATTTAATAACAATGATCTAATTTGAGTGCATAACTGTATGTATATAATTATAATAAAAAAAGTAACAGTACAATTAGCTCATTATAAATTATATATAAGTAAAATTAAATTATAAAAAAAATCGGATAACATATTATAAACTATATATAAATGATAAAAAAAAAAAAAAATTTAAAAAAAATTTTTTTTATTTTTTTAGCCAGTCGCAAGCTATTTCCACAATGCTATTACAGCAGAGATGATGTAATGGTGCTGGAAGATCTTACGCAGCGTTATCGACATCTCAAAGCCAATGAGAGCTACTGCCAGGAGCATTATAAATTGGTTTTGGGACATTTGGCTGCTCTACACGCAGCGAGCATCGCCTGGGAGGAGGCAGAACAATTTAATATTGGCGAACGTTACAAAAATGTATTCAAGGAGCTGCTAATGAACACGGAGAACGAGTGGTTTATCACTGGATTAAAGGTGAGTAGATTTCTATTATATTGTATATATATGTATGTAACCTTATTAATTCTTCAATTCAAATATTATTTTTATAGGGTATCGTTTTCTTGGCCGCTCGACATGCCAAATACCAAACGGAGAGCGCTCAAACTTTCATAAGAGAAAAACTTTATCACCTCCTGAGCGAAACGGAACATCTTGTAAAGCCCTCGAAGAGCATAAGAAATGTGCTATGCCATCGCGATACCTGGGATCGTAATATCCTCTTCGGGTTTGACAGCCCGACGGCCAGCTTGCCGAGCTCTTGTTGCATCGTGGACTTCCAATTGACGCAGTATTGCTCGCCCAGCTTGGACGTGCTCTTTCTGCTCTATATATTGCTGCCCTCGGCCCAGGAGAGACGCAACATGTATGATCAAGCACTGGAGTATTATTACGATGCTCTTCAAGCTGAATTTATGCGCCTCGGTCTGCCGTCTGATCTGATTAGTAGGTCAAACTTTCTGGAGGAGTGCGAGCGAACACGCTTAGCAGGCTTGACTATGAAGGCGCTCACCGAGCCTCAGACCAAGATGCTGGCTTCGATTAGCAATAAGCTGCGCTCAGAGGAGCCGGAGAAGTTTGACTTCTACCTGAATTGTGATCGCAGCGAAATGTACTTGAGAGTCATGCAAATGCAGCCGGGCTATGAGGAAACGATAATGCAGCCCATAGCAGAGCTGGTTGACTATCTCATGGAGCGGGAGAATCTCTCTGTTTTATAAGGCTTATCCTGATAACGATTGTAATGCGATCGCGTACAAAAAAAAAAAAAAAAAAAAAAAGAAAATGGAACAAATGACTCGACATGCATTATTTATTTAAAAGACCTAACAGTTTGAACTGGAACTAGAGACACAAAATATATATTTGTTTAGGTATATAGAATCTAGCTAGGGAGATGGCATACATAAATATATAATAATGTGTATATACTCGTTTATATGTATGTATATATTTATATATTTATTTTTATGGCTGTATAATACTAGCTTCAAGCTGGACTCGTCTCTGGTAATCCGCATTTGAATTGGTAAAAGCCTAGCAAAGTTTAAAAGGCGTCTTTGTTTTCTGGGTTTGCCAGCTAATCGGTCCAGCAATCCTCGTTGGCATCATCTTCGTCGTAGTCGCGCACATTGAAGTCCTCGTGGAACAGATCCTCGCCCTCCTCTTCGGAGGACTCCGACTGTCATCTGATGCCGCTGACACGCTGTGGCAGACTAATCACGCCCTTGGGCGGCCGAGGCATTCGAATGCTGGTGGCTGTGCCCGCTGCCGCCGATGTCGATGCCTTGCCAGAGACACTGGGTATCAACTGGGCATTCAGAATGGTTGGCTGATCGAAGCAGTTGCAGCAGTACTTGTCGCAGCGCAGCAGCAGCGTCAGTCCGCTCAGCAGCCAGACGAGCACGCCGGGCCAGGCGTGCTCCGCACAGGCCGAGAAGAAGACGACGCTCAGCAGCAGGCAGAGGGCGCAGAGCACGGGACTCACATTGATGACGCTGCCCGTGTACTGTGGTATTATGCCCATCATCATGGCCACAATCAGAACACCGATGGCTCCAGTGAATGCGGCTGGTGCCCAGTTTTTTTCCAGTCCAGCCACGCACAGGGCAATGCCCAGGCCGATGACAACTATCGAAAAGATGGTCACGCGCCAGGAGCTCACTGTGGGCACACGCACGCTACGCTCCAGGGGACCCGCTGTGGTTACCTGCAAAATCGTACAGGTGGGTTAGGCTTACGACTATAGTGAGTGGTGACTTTTTTTTTCTTTATCTTTTGTCGATACTCATCAACGATGGCATCAATGTCCGTTGAGGTGTCCGAGTCACTTTTGTCAAACTTATCAGGATACTCAAAGTCAGATGGCTGCAAGAAAGTAATTTTTTTATGTAAAGCAAAAATAATAACTTTAAATTGTAAATAATTTTAATTTCACTGTTTTTTTTTCTTTAAATATATTATTTCCAAATCAATATGCCTTTGTATATCTAAATGAAAAATTTTTTTCATATTACTGTTATATTTACAAATATTGAAATTTTTAAAAATTAATATTATTATTTTTTTTTTAATATCATACAGAATATAAAAAAAAATAATAATACTAATAATATAAATTATTTTTTTTAATATAATATTAAAATGAATTCTTTTTATTTTATTATTATTACTTTTTTTTTTTTTTTTTCGAAAATTTCTTCGAAACTTAAAACATATATAAAGAATGTAGACGACTTTTACATCTTTCAATGTGAAATATAATACTATAATTATTAAAAAATATTATGAAAATTAAATAGATTTTTTCAATTTCAATTTCAATTTATTTCACTCTTTGTTATAACTACATAATTTTGTGAATGGTATTTTACAATATTTTAAGAGTTTAGGCTAATTCAATACTAATTAAATAGATAATAAAATAAAATATATATGCAGAGATTCAAGAGAGTTTATAAATATTTAATATTAAAACAAACAATAAAATTAAGTACTGGCAACTGATATGTTAATAAATGAGAGTAAAAGCTAAGTCATATTTTCTTCTCAGTCTTCTCTACATCTCTACAACTCTATACTCACCGGTGGCTCGCTGTCGGAGAGAATCGTGGACTCCACATCTCTGCCCTCGCGCTGTGGACAAGGTGACGTGGGCTCGCCCAGGAGCAGCCATTCCTTTTCGACTTCGGGCTTAGCTCGTTGCTTGTTCTTTGGCTTTTTCATGGCGCGCTGCTTGTGCAACCCAAGATTCCAGAGGCTGCGCCTCACGCGATTTGAGCTGCCGGTGGCAGCGCTGCTGCAGCTGCTGCTGCTCTTGGCAATGGGCGCCGTGGAGAGGCGGCTGTAGGAGAGGGAAGACTCACTGCTGCTGGGCTGCATGAACTTGGGTCGATACGGCGTGTACAGCAAGTAGAAGGCACGCAGAAAGCCGGCCGTCAAATGGCTGGCCGCCAGGCAGTAGCTGAGATGCTGCAGGGGGCAGGCGAAGGCCAGCATGGCGCACAGGCTGCCCGCTATGAAGACGGCCAGGACGGGATTGCCGCTGTCAGAGCTCTCGTAGCTGATTTGTTTGCTGAGAATGCGCCACTCGGACGTGGCCAGACGCACCACAATACCGTACAGCTCGGGAAAGATTTCCATAAAGGCCGCCGAGCTGGTCAGCAGCAGCATGCAAGCCGACGCTGGCACCAGCTTATGGAAGCCGCTCTCATCGAGAATATTGAAGAGCGGCACGGCCACATAATCATCGCGCAACCTGTTGAGAAAGGCGAGTTCTGAGAGTGAGAGTATTCATATAGATGGATAGAGATGTTTGACTTACTTGAAATGCACCACTGTGGATAAGCAAATGGCGGTAAGCAGCAACGAGATGCAGACCAGAGCAAAGACCAAGATCGCTGTGGTGCGTGAGCCGCGGTGCTGCTGAGGCAGAACGCTGGGAAATGCGTAGCTCAGTAAAGCGGTTGTCAAGAGGAACTGCAAGAATGGAGTCAATGAGAGAGTTACGAGGGAGAGAGAGATAGATAAGGTAAAGAGAGAGCGATAGAGAGAGAGAGAGGGAGAGAGAAGGAGAGATAAAGGGGATTTAATTAGATAGAGTTAGAGAATGAGATGAAAGAGGCAGAGATGGAGACAGAGTGACAAAGGGAAATATATTTAGCGAGAGAATGAGATATAGAGCGAGAGAAATATAAATAAAATGATTGGTATATAGGAAAAAATTCGAAGGAGAGATATAAAAATATAGGGATAGTGAAAGGAGATATACCGAGAGGGAGAGTTTCAGCTTTCATTTATTACCAATTTATTTC